TCTTGCCCTCCCCCCCCGGCCCCTCCCCCGGCCCCCCTCCCCCTGCTTCAGAATGCCGCCCAGGCACCTCCTTCCGGCCGCCGCAGCCCTTGTCCTGCCAGTGTGCCTGTTGTGGGAGCTGCCGGCCGCAAAGGGCTACATCCATGCGGTGAGCTCCCCCGCCCCCCCCGGCACAGCGTGGGGTCCCTGGTGGGATGGCTGAATCTCCCCCCAGGTTTGCAGGCTGCCACCTGAAACGCCAGCTCTGGCCACCAGAGGGCGTGTGGACCGTGGCAAGGCCTGGCCCAGCCCAGCCCAGCCCAGCCCAGCCCAGCCCAGCCCAGCTGGGTAAGATGGCCTCCCCATGGCTGGGCTGAGCCGTTGGGGCCTGTGGTCCTGCTTCCCTACCAGGGGAGGGGCTGAATTGGCATCCCAGGTTGCAGCAGCCTGAACAGTTTGCACCTTGTGCAGCTGGGCTGGAGAAGGGAGATTGCAGCAAGGGGGGGGGGGTGCCCAAAGGCCGGCTCCCCTGGGGCTGCTGAGCAGAGGAGGGCATCACAGCTGCAGGCAGTGCACCCCACTGGCCCCCTGCTGCTCTGGCTGCCCCCATTCACTCCCTCCTCCCTCCTCAGGTGTCAGACCACAACACCAGCATGGAGTTCTCTGATCTGCCGGCCATTTTCGGGTACCCGCTGCCCCATGAAGGACTCGTGGTGGGTATCTAGGTGGGCGGGAAGCTGTCACCTCCCCCCCCCCTTCCCCTCCCTCCCTGAACTGCCTGCCGCCTCCCCAGGGCCTCCTGGTGGAAGCCAGGCCAGCCAACGCCTGCCTACCGCTTGAGGTGCCTCCGTCCAACAGCAGCGTCTTCATCGCCCTTGTCCGGCGGTACAACTGCAGCTTTGATGTCAAGGTGAGGGGCTGGAGGAGGGCCCCAGAAAGCCCCCTCACTTCTGGGAGGCTTGCAGAGCAGAGGCGTTTGGGAGAGCGGCCTCACCCCGCCCGTGTCTCCTGCCAGGTCTACCACGCCCAGCAGGCTGGGTTCCTGGGAGTCATTGTGCACAACGTTGGCTCTGATGATCTGCTCAACATGGTTTGGGAGGACGGTGAGTCAAGGAGGCGGCTGTACTCTGGGTCTTCGGGGACCCTCCAACCCGTCCTCCTCTGACCGCCCCCCTTTTTTCTCCAGAAGAGCTGCGCAGGCGCATCACTGTCCCTTCCGTCTTCACCGGTGAAACAGCAGCCACGTACCTGCGTAGCCTCTTCACTTACGAGAGAGGGTAGGCGCCGCGGCACAGCTGGAGGCAGGGGTGATGGGGAGGACTGGGGGGCTCAGGACAAAAGGACTCCCCTGCAGCTGGTCTAACTACTGCACCCCAGCTTTTCTCTAGAGCAAGGGCGTACGACTGGCTCAGAAAGGCGTCGAAGTACAGTAACGGGAAAAGAATGAAGGTGCTCGCAGGCAGCAGTCCGAGCCAATTGAATCATGGTGGCAGCAATGTTAAACTTAGGAAGTTGTGCACATGCACAGGGACATGGTTTCCTGCAGCACTGGGGCTTCTGACCGGTGGTGGGAGTGGGCAGTCCACTTTGTGCCCTGTGCTGAAGATGCGCTGTTTCAGTTCCTGGCTCTCCGAATCTCAGCATCCTCTGGCCTTTGAGGTCCAGCCAAGGCCTTCGCTGAGAATTCAGACGACGCGGATTCCATGTGGGCGAACCCTTGCTGTCTTGGCACAAGGGAGAACCTCCCCCAACTCCTAGCCCTTCTCAAACCCTTTCTGGGAAGGGCTCTGGGATGTGGCCAGGACCCTTTTTTCAAGGAACCCTCCTGCTTGGGAACCTTTCCAGCATTAGGGAGAGTGGATCTCTATGGTCTGGTCTCCCAGGGATCTAATGCCTCTCCTCCTCCTCCTCCTCCTCAGGGGCCACGTGGTCCTGATCCCGGAATACATCTTCCCGCTGGGCTACTACCTCATCCCGTTCACAGGAGTGGTGGGCGTTGTGATTGCCGTGATGTGCACCATCTTGGTGAGGGGCCACGGGTCCAGCGGGGAAGGGGACCTCATCCAGTGGGGGTGGAGGTTGGCTAGATGTCTTGATGTTCCTCACTAGAGGGGATGTGCCATAAAGATACGTCCTGAGCCCAGGTTTGCGTCGCGCGAGAGCTGCACTCACAGCGTGCGCTGTGCCCCAAGGCCGCGCTTTGTTTCCCGCAGGGCAGAACCAGCTGGCACCGGACAACTAGCCCAGTGTCAGATAGTACAGTGAGGCTCCCGCGACAATGATAGAAGAAGCTGAGCTGATTCTGTCAGCTCCGCGTTTCCAGATATAGGTTCGCCTCTGCTCTGCTTTCCCGGGGTTTTGAGAACACCGGCGTGTCGCGCGCGTGCACCCACCCTGGGTGAGATTCGCCTGGAGTCTGGGAAACCCCTTTCCTTGGCAGATCGTTCGTTGTATCCAACATCGGAAGAGGATGCGGAAGGACCGCCTGTCCAAGGAGCAGCTGAAACAGATCCCGGTGCACAAGTACAAGAAAGGTGAGTGGGCTCTGGGGCGGGTGCCCCGCCTGGGCCCCCAGGGTGGTCTCTGGAGTGGCTGCAGCTGGAGGGGGCTTTGCAGTCTGAGCAAGCCAGAGTTGGGGGCCCTGCCGGCTTCTGCTTGGCTCCCCCAGAGGAGGCCCTTTGTGGCCACATCCCGCAACGGACGACGCCACTGCTGCCGCTGCAGCCATTCCCCCCCCACCTCCCACCAGCTGGTGCATTTCCTTCCTTCCCTTTTCAAGCCAGGGGAAGGAGCAGCATGTACGCGCCGGTCTTTGGGGGCGTCTGGCCCCTCCGCTAGGTGGGGAAGGAGAAGGCGGCGTTTCCCATCCTGTCCTGGGGAGAGCGGGAGGGCTGAAGGCTGGATGCTGGGGCAAGGGTGACCTTCCAGGGACCACTCCCCTCCCCAAGCTGACCGCTTTGCGTGTCCCAGGTCTTGGGCCTATTCAGGCCAGAAGCCTTTGGCCTGGCTGCTGGCAGTGCTTCCTCCTCCCCCTTTTGGAGGGGGGCTTTGAGCAAGGGTTGGCCCGAGGACCTGGGGCTGCCTGGAAGGGCTGCCCCTGGAGGGGCAGCCCCCATGCCCTCCCCAGGGCCGCGCCTCCTCCCTGCTAGCCCGCTTGGTTCTCTGCAGCAGGCTTGGATGGCTGCTCTCGCTTGGGGCGCTAATAAACACCGTTCCACCCATGGAAAAACCCTCCGGTGTGCAGCAGGGCCGGGAGACTGCTGTGCACTGCGCTCCATACTAGGAGCTGCTGTCAGGTTGTGGGGGGGCCCCTGCCCAAGGGTGCCTCCTCAGAGGCAGGGTTGGGCCTGCGTCCAGCCATGGTAGGGGGTTGGCCCGACGTTGGCTGGGCGTCTCCTCTCCCCTTCGAGGACCAGTGCCAGGAGTCTTCCGGGCACAATGGCTGCTTTTGCTCGGCCGAGGGGAGGGGGCAGGAGGGCTCGCAGCAGACCCACAGCGCAAGTGGGGCCTCAAGAGCTGCTGCCCCAATTCTTTCCCAGCCGCTCCCTCGTGAGATGCCAGGCTGCTTCCTCTGCCCCCCCCAATCCTCCTTGGTTCCCATGTGAGTCCTCGTCCCGGCATCAGCGCCGCCAGCGCCTGGGAGGCATGGCTTGTGTCATCCAGGTGGCGCTGGGGTGACCTCACACCCCGGTGGGCGAGGCAGCCCAGGAGAGCTGCAGCCCCCCCCCTCCCCCGCCCCTCCCCCCCC